GACTAGGATTTTGTTGAGACAACTTTTCGCAGTGTTTAGAGCTCTATGCAGATCGAAAAGTCTTTCCAATAAAAGTTTGCTCCCACCTTGTGTTGTTTACATCACTGTTGTCAGCAGTAGACCATTTGGATACGCATTTTTATCAGTTCCCATTGTTAAAGTATTCTTTTGTCCCACTTCTTTCTCAGTGCTGCTTCGTGCCATTGTTCTCCTTCTTGATGTTGCTTAAAAATAATTTATTTCCGTATACATGTACAGCCTTACATGTTGTGCTGTTACTGTACACACAACGTTATAATCTCAAATAAATATATTTTTCAAGTTTGATCATTTAATTCCTTAAATATCATTCGTTAACACGATCGTCGTAGGAAAAGTTAAAAGTAGAGACGTCAGGGATCCTTCGTGGTGGTTGGTTAATGAGGTTTAAAGCCTACCGACTACACCAGACGCATTAAAGTGTATGTAACTTTTTCCTCACCACAGAAGAATACTTTAATTCTTTAAATAGGGATTAACGTAAACACTCAGCATATATATGCTGAGATAAATACATTTGTTGTATCAAATGCTGTATGTTGTATTTGGTGTTAAGGTTATTAACTATTAATGCAATGAATGGTGAATGTGGATATAAAGCAAAAACGTAAAAGAAGGGTTATTCAAGGCGTTTTTACCCTTTAAAGGGAAAGGGTTGGTTAATAGTTTAAGGAAAACCAAGAAAATCTAGCAGATTGTTTTATTTTCACTGAGGACATGTAGGTCCTTCCCCAGGATGTAACCCACTATAGTCAACTAACACAAGAGGCATCTGTATACTACAAGTGTTTCAGACGATGTCTTAATACTGGTGAAGGACTGTTGGGCCAATGAACTGTAGCAACCCTCCCCTCCCTCGGCTCAAAACTGATTACCTCCCATTCCATATACATGTATATATATATATATATTATATATATATATATATATATATATATATATATATATATATATATATATATATATATATATAAAATAGTAGAGACCTTGAGGAAGGTCCACAAGGTCCACCCTGTGCATTGACTATCTACATTTGTTGAGAGTCATTCACTGCTCCTGGCAGCTAAAATACTGTATTCAACAAACGTTGTCAGATTAGATACCTTGAATCTATGTTTACGTTTAAGATGTGTTGTCTTGCATCCCTGAGTAGTGATGCAATTATTGTATCTCTACTCACTAGTTGAGTAGCTTTATTAGTCTTGAATATGGATAGAAATACTAACATTAAATAACAAAAAAGGCACAATACCGTGACTGGAACGATACACAAATAACCCGCACATAGAGAGAAGCTTACGATGACGTTTCGGTCCGACTTGGACCATTTACAAGTCGACCATTTTACAAGTTGGACCATTTACAGTGGTATATGCTAAACTCGTAGAGCTTATTCATCTCGTGGAGAATGGGAGATTATCAGATTTGATCTAAGAAAGAGGCGTGTAGCTTCAGTTCCTTGGATCAAGAGTTATTCATCAACATCAAGACACTCTACTAGAGAACTAGTAGTACAAATGTGGTTCGCTCATTGGAAAATTACCTTATAGAGTGTTGTTATTGCATAACTTGAGTCTGCAGCTTAGGTTGTTAGTATGACTAGGGAGCTACACAGTGCTGGTTGATTAATTGATTGGGTTCAAAGACTATGGACTACATGAGCGTTTTAATGACGCTCGTGTAATCGATAGCCTGCAGGTAGTCTGTTCACCACCGGTCATGGTTACTTTAAATCCTACTTTTGGAATTAATCACTTTTCAATGTATTTATTGAGAGAGACATTTCTCAGTGTACCTAACCTTGAGAATGTGATGTAACCATTGTTTTATATAATCTGGTGAATTATCCAGGCAAAGAAAACCAGACAATCTGGCGACCTTTTATTATTATTTTTAATCTAAACATAATGGAATCTATTCAACGAGAATTTAGGTCCTTAAAACTAAGTGTTAAAGCACACAACATACAAGGTATAGAAGGTTTAGTACTCATGCTTCATAATACTGGGGTCAAATATGACTATACTTCCTAATATCTGTATTCTCATTCTTTCAGACGAAAACAAACAACAGATTTGACATTGAACACTGATGGTATAGACATTTTTTGACAATGACCCATATCATTATATTAGTGGTATACAATACCGACAGTTATATGAGCGAGACACTTGCTCATAAGTTTGATATCCTTATTACCGAGACTTCTCGCCTATTAAACAAGCATCTTCAGTCGAAATACATGGATGAAATAAACACAGGATGCAACATAAATATGGGGAGGGAGATATTGATCACGTCCTCGGCCTTGGTAAGTGTTCAGCTCCATTGATCGGAGTTATAGAGCTGAACACTTGACCAGGACTGACGGACTGCTTTGTGTTTACCTTCCTTCTACTTTTGTTGCATCTTGTATTTATCACTTGTGCATTTAGACTAAAAAAAAAAATACTAAACAGGCGATACGTCTCAGTAATAAATATATCAAACTGTTGTGTCTGACTCAATGACCCATATGTGTACTATATTACCTCAACAGTCGTATAATAATCTGCTCTAGTTTCCCATGGAGAAGGTCCAGTTTCTATGACAGGACCTTCTTCAGAGAAAATGAAGTGACTTACCATATAAAACGTATACTCAACTGCACAATGGTCAGGAAGAAAATTTTCTTGGGGCTCAGGTTATATGTAGTCGAGTGTTCTTTTCACATGATTAGTCATTTCATTCATGTTTTATCTGTTAGTAAGTCATCTGTTACAGGAATTCCATGGCTTTCAACATAAATAAATAATTTTTTATATATATATATATATATATATATATATATATATATTATATATATATATATATATTTTATATATATATATATATATATATATATATATATAATTTTTATATATTTATAAAATCACGAAAATTATAAAATATTTTTTCACTAATGAATACATAATTATGCAAAAATTAAAGTGACTTAAATGCCGCATCAACTATATTTCTAATTGCCTAAATTTCCTAAAACGAAAGATCATTCTTCAAGTGCCTCAGTTTTGGTCCCTTGACGTACGTCTGCAGTACTCGCTCTCCCTTGACGCACGTCTACAGTACTCGCTCTCCCTTGACGCACGTCTACAGTACTCGCTCTCCTTTGACGCACGTCTACAGTACTCGCTCTCCCTTGACGTACGTCTACAGTACTTGCTCTCCCTTCACAGACTTAGTGTTTCTACACCATCACATAGTTTAAAAACGTAATTAATCGTAGCTTCCCGTGAAAATAATAAATATAATAACAAATAGTTATAGGTTTGTCCTACTTCTTTTATGGTTCCTCCACTCATGGTCAAATATCAGAACGTATTTGTTTTTCTTTCCTCCCACAACGTATCCATTACATTAATTTGTGGATCCTGGTGACCGTGGCCGCAGGGAGTAACTGGTTCCAGTGGTCGCGTGTGGGTCTCCTCTTATTTACATTAATATATTTTTTTTACTTTCCTACATCATGACAACGTACATCTGGAATGTTTCTTCTTTCTCATTTATTTTGAAAAAGAGTATTCTATAGTTCTGCGAAAATAACATTTCTATTTAAAACTTTATCATAGTTTACATTGCTAGGGATTTATCTACAGGACTTTCTACCCAGCGGTTAGTTTAGTAACTCCTTCTTGACCTTATTTATCAGCAGGATGAATAATGTTACAGTAGAACATTAATTTCTGAAATCAGTGATCCCAAAAGCGTCAATAATGGTTGACGTCCTGTGATAGAGATTGCATCAAGGTAGTACATAACAAAGTTTATGCAGCAGTTCTCAGTAATCAAAGTTCTGCTCGTGTAGGTGAAGAAGTATAGTTGTAAACCGGTCCGTCACTCTGTGTGACGGACCTTCACGCTTTTATCTAACAAAACTGGCAGTTGGTGTGAGGATGTGAGACTGTCAACTCTCTGGGTGAAGAGACTCGCTAGTAACTATCTCTCCCGACACACTACACTCACCATAACTTGCCTATCACTCTTCAGATCACAAAATCGTGTCAGGATGTGAGGTGGTCAATTCACTGGGCGAGGAGCCTCTCGGGTAATCATCTCTCCAGACACACAATACTTACCAGGATATAACAGATTTTGCTAAAATGTGGAATGTAGTGTGCGAGAGGGATGTGAGGGTATCTTTCTGCCTTGGTCTAAATTGTACTTTAAATGGGGGTTGCAAATGTAGATATCACAATGCAATACCTAATCAATGAAAGTACCTATACGTGGCTTCTATAGCTTTCCACTTCCTTTCAGGTCTGTTCTGGTGCTTTTGGAAAGCTCTCACTCTACAGAAGCTGCCGATTGTAATTACTGATAATACTGATCTGGACAGTAAATACTGGTTCAGTTAGCCTGCACTATTAACATTTCTACAATCATCCCAAACGACACTTTTCCGTCTTGAAAATAATTTCGTAGCAAAACGTTTGGTATTACTACCACAAACATTCGCTTCACAGACAGTTCTCCATTGCAGTGGTGTTAATCTATCTAATATTTTTTTAACAAGATTACTAATTTTAAATGCCGTTGGCAATATTTACATCATTAAACATGTTTAGGACTGCAATCTAATGTAAAAAATGTACTAGTCTGGTTGAAAACTATGCTGTATTAGTTAGAAAAATGTAATGATCCTCTTACAACTGGAGTTTTTCTTGATCTATCAAGAGGCAGTGAAGTGATAATCAGTTTTTACTATCATTTATTATTACCTTCTATTACATGTGTCTTCACTGTAAGCCTTCCTATTCACAACACTCAATAATCTAATACTGAAGCCTAGGTTGATCATAAATATTTGGATGTTATACTGATGTTATACTTCCATGTAACAGATGTATATATTCCAGGATATATAAAATGTTATGTGAAGCGTATTGGTAGATAAAATTTGTCTTTAATTTTTCAAAAATCTCTCCATCTTACACTGAAAAACTTTCCAACTTACCATGAACCAACATTCCACTCTCCCCTGTGTTAAGAATGATTATTGTCATTTATTAATTTTGAGACGGGTATAAAATACAAAAAAAAATTATTTTGTGCGTTGACGCTACTCACAACCATACTTCTTCACTCTGAGCAACTAGTCAGACTCTCTCAGAGGCGAGCTCGGCCGCGGGAGAGAGTCTGGCCGAGGAGTTCTCATTGCTGGCGTCGGAAACCTTGGCTGCCTGCACCGGCGGTGGCAGGTTCTTGGCTCCTGGCGACTGAGCTGTGTTTATCACCGAGTTCTTCTCGCTGAAATAGCCGCCTGGCTTGGGTTTGAGGTGGCGGTTGTTCATCTCCATGTGAACAATCTTCATGAACTCCATCTGAGCCGCCAGTTTCTGGATCTCCTCCTGGTATGAGGACAAAAGTGTTGTCCATAAATTTCTTTGCATTATAGTGTAAAGTACTTTTAGCATTCAAGAAAGCGAAGAGCGTGTGCAGTAAAGGGATAAGGTACTTATGTGGTGTGCATATATAGAATGTCAATAGCAATAAATAAGAAGAGATTATACTATAATGTATTGTGCAGGTGACTACACTAATGAAACATCAGGTGTAAGACACATACCATATCCCTTTTAAATTGTGAGGAGTCTCCTTAATTCCTCCTGGAAATGGAAAAAATAATTTGGCCATGGAATTAGGGTGAGGGAACAACCACATGCGAGAGAGAGAGAGAGAGAGAGAGAGAGAGAGGAGAGAGAGAGAGAGAGAGAGGAGAGAGAAGAGAGAGAGAGAGAGAGATGAGAGAGAGAAGAGAGAGAGAGAGAGAGAGAGAGAGAGAGAGAGAGAGAGAGAGAGAGAGAGAGAGAGAGAGAGAGAGAGAGAGAGAGAGAGAGAGAAGAGAGGCTACATCTTTATAGTTAGCATACAAGTGTTAGGAAGTGCCATTAAGAGGGTAGAAGTGAACTATTCATTAACTGCCTGATAGTTGGTGTATATAATACATGGAAGACAGAGCGTGTCTGCGAGCACAGAGAAGATCAAGTTAGAACCACGTAAGTGACAACATACTTAGCAACAAGAATATCGTAATCTTTTTTTTTTACCTGTAAAGTGGTAAGGGTATAAACTGCGCCACATTTTATCAATATAAATAAATTATTAAAAAAATAAGTACATTTGTTAAGAATTGTGGAAAAGCGTAACTGAATAACTGACAGCGCTGTGTGACTCTTGTGGGTTTAGCGCTTAGTTCTGATTGTGATAATAATAATTAGATAACAGTATTTCCGAAGCTAAAAATATATACGTCAATTATGAAATTCAGATCGTGCACGTATTTCATGATGACCAACTCTGTTATTATTGTGACATGTAACACTAGGATGTCATAGAAAATAAAATGAAATGGATTGCAATGTAAGAATAATTCAGTTTCCGCCTTATTAATTAATCTAGCTTCCTCGTTATTCCCAGACTTACAGAAGCTGACACAACAGTCTCTGAATCCTTGACCTGAAGTCCTGAACACTTCATGTAAGGAAGCATTCCCTCGATATGTGCGTATCCGAATTTCTGAGATCCCCATTTTCTACCAGTAATTCCCCATTTACCATATAAATTTGATCTACTGCAATCAGTACCGCTCTGATTACCACTGCTGCTGATATATGCGCCAAGGGAGTGACATCAATATATTGAGTAAAAGTAATATTGATGTAAACATAGATCATTTCCCATTAATACTTTGGTATGATGCCCGATTTCTTATCCTTGCTCTATAATCCCTCTAACCTTTATCCTCTTATCCCAACTTATCTACACCCAATTAACCCAGTCATAACCCGACTTATCCCAGGCCCACGCTCTCTTACCCAGGTCCACGCTCTCTTACCCAGGTCCACGCTCTCTTACCCAGGTCCACGCTATCTTACCCAGGTCCACCTACATACCTTAAGTTCCTCGTTCTCCTGGGAGAGGTCCGCGGGTTCGTCGTTCATAACACCGAGGCCGTTGAGGGAGAAGCTGGCAGTGACACCCTTTGCTCTCGCCCGGTTGTCATATTGGTCCCCCGTGCCTTGCACGATCCTGTTGAACTACAACACCAGCACGGGTCAGTTACAGTGGTACGATGGTTAAGTGTAGGTGTAGCCATGCATTGGTGAGGTACAGAGATGCCTAGAGCCACAACACTGAAGATGAATATAAACATTGATCACTCTTGTATCCATTAAAGATTATATGAACTGGAGGTGGAAATAGACGGAGTAATATTTTCTCTGTGCTTATGGCTATATCTGAGTTAATAAGGTCCACATATAAAGATGAATAATATTGATAAATGCTGAAGTGAAGTGAAGATGACTGGTGAAGTGAACATGGACATGGTTGTGTAATGAAGATGAATGATATGATAAGTGAAGATGCTCGGGAGTGGTCCCATGACTTGATAAAAATCTTAAGAGAACGAAATGCTGTCGTAATAAAAACTTGTTCTGCAAAGTCTTTTCTCCAGTGTCATTAGCAGCATCCACACAACTTCCTTGCGCTGGGTTGAATCTCGTTGCATCATCTCTAGTGTCCCTCTCAAGGGAGGTTCCTTGACGCTGGTGAGGGGCTCTTGATCTAGGGAAATTGGATCTGTGCTCCAGTTCCCTGAATTAAGCCTGAATACCTTCCATCCCCCCACACATGCGCTGTATAATCCTATGGGTTTAGCGCTCCCCATTATTATAATAATTAAAACAACATCTCTCGTGTTGCTTTTGGGAAAATATGAAATTTTATGGGTGGATGTTAAAAGAAAAGTTTTTGGTGGCTATTGTTGAGAATATGACCCACCGCCAACACAACACAATATCAACATATGGTCCACAAGCATCACTCTACCAATCACTAGCGCACACGCCACGCCACACGCCAGGAGCTGTGAATCGACCCCTGTAACCACAACTAGGTGAGTACACACGCACACTCACCCACACTCACACACACACACACACACACACACACACACACACACACACACAAACGCACACGCACACACACACACGGGGCCAAGAGCTTGGATTCGACCTCTGCAGCCTCAACTAGGTGAGTACACACACACACACACACACGGGGCCAAGAGCTTGGACTCGACCCCTGCAACCTCAACTAAGTGAGTACACACACACACACACACACATATACAAATCTCAACCAAAACACTCACTTTTTGTGTGTAGAAAATAGACTACAGCAGCACCCGGACAAGGGATCCTTGTTAATGTGTCACCCTCCTCACCAGGTATCCATGTCATCGTGTCAGTCCCTCCCCCAACACCAGATATCCCTGTAACTACGTCACTCTCACACCAGGTATTCCTGTCACCACTTCATGCTCCTCACCAGAAACTCTTGATAAGTCACCCACCTTAGGCCCGAAGATGAACAAGACTGTGGTCGAAGTACTAAGCTGCGTCCTCAGGAAGCCAAACAGGTACTTGATATCTGGGCCAGCCTTGGGGAAGATGAGCAGACTGAGGGGAAAACAGATAAGCTTTTATTTAAGCTTTGAGCAGATTTCTCACGAAAAATATGTAAAATGGTCTTGGGGGAAAACATGTAATGGGCACATAAAAAAGTACATTTTGTAAATTTAGACGAAGATAAACCAGATAGAGTTATACTTTATGAAGACAGTTATTATCAAGAAGTATGGTAGGAAGTCTCTCGTTCTTCTCTTAGTTCAGATTGCATTCTTATTATTATTATTATTATTATTATTATTATTATTATTATTATTATTATTATTATTATTATTATTATTATTATTATTTGTCTTCCTCTTGCATGCAGCACATGATATATCGAGGTAAACAACATGACATATTAGAAAAAAAATATTACCCAGGGAGACACAGAATAAAATTCACAGGGAATAAAGTTACAGAAAACAAAGGGAATAAAATAGACATACTGGGACAGGGATATGACGGTATAAATAAGAAGCGACCAAAAGGGAATGAAGACAGAACAATCTAGCACAAGGCAACAGAGAATAAGAAAGACGGAGAGGCAGAATAAGGCACACAAGTCAGTACGAAAAAAAATCAACACGGGCAATAAGCTGAAAAAAAAAAATTAGCTGACGCTGAAGGATAAACAGAGGATGGCGGGGAATTTGTAGATGGCGGGGAGAATAGGAAGTGGCAGGGAAAAAACAGGAGGTAGCAGGGAAATTGTGATCAACGGGACAACGAAATTTTTACTGTTATAGTAAATAGGGTCTTAGTAGGGAAAAAAGACGAAATTGGAGTAAGAGAGAGAGAGAGGGAGAGAGATTAAATAATAATAGAAATTTAAAAAGGTACTAGCAAGATAGGAGGGCTAAACCCGGGAGGATCTCGCTGCGGGAAATTACCCTAACACGGGGGAGAATATTCAGCGGTGGGAGGGGGAAATTACGTGGAATATGGCGGTGTGTTTGCAAGTTAAGGAGTTTTAAGAGTGTGTTGGGGAGCAGGTGATGGTGTTTTAATGGAGGGTGTGGCAAAGAATGTTTTGTGGAGGTGGGAGTATTTTGATGAAGTGTGGAGGAGGGAGGTGTCTCCACCACAGTGATGTGAGGAAAGTAGTAGTAGTAGTAGTAGTAGTAGTAGTAGTAGTAGTAGTAGTAGTAGTAGTAGTAGTAGTAGTAGTAGTAGTAGTAATAGCAGTAGTAGTAGTAGTAGTAGTAGTAATAGCAGTAGTAGTAGTAGTAGTAATAGCAGTAGTAGTAGTAGTGGTAGTAGTAATGGAAGTAGTAATGGTAGTAGAAATGGTAGTAGTTGTAGTAGTAGTAGCGGTAATGGTAGTGGTAGCAGTAGTAATAGTAGCAGTATTAGCAATAGCAGTGATAGTAGTAGTAGTAGTAGTAGTAGTAGTAGTAGTGATAGTGGTAGCAGTAATAGCAGCAGTAATGGTAGTAGTAGTAGTAGTAGTAGTAGTAACAGCTGAAGTAGTATTCAAGATGCACAAAATTCGTATTGTTATACAACACCAGGAAAATGGTAGGCAGTCAGGTTGGATCCACTTAAGGTAAACTTAACCTCAGTTCCTGTACCATCACCAGGTCACCCCTGGCTGAAGGAAGGAAAAGAGAGAGTTGACACTCACTGGAAGGTCACCATCACTATGTTGACGAGAGCAATGTTGTACCCGGCCCAAGAGATGTACTTGGCTTCGTCGAAGAAGCTCTCTGCTTTTACCGAACACTGAAACACACCCTTTATCCCCACGCCAGGAAGATCACCTCACCTGTGGGAGGAGCGCAGAAGGAAAGCATTATTTCCCTCACTCCCATTTTAAAAGTTTAAAGTTTTATTTACTATATGTGGGGCATTGAAATTTTAGGTGTCATCACAGAAAGGGGTGATAACCCCAATTTATCCCAAAAACCCATGTGAAAAAAAGTGACCCCAATTTTAAAATATTTATATATATAAAATTATTTTATATAAAAATATTAATTTATATTATATAAAATTTATATATTATATATATATATTTTTATAGTATTATTTTAACGGCCTTTCTCCGCCCAAGGCAGGGTGACCAAAAGAAGAAATCTTATTCCCTTTCTTTAATTCAATCGCTGTTTTTCCAAAAGTGGGGGCTGACATCAAAAAACAGTTTCCCTCTAAATACCTTTGGTGGGGGGTTTTGTGTGTGTGTGTGTGTAAACCCCAGGAAGTCCCAGTTTACTCCCCCACAGCGGGGAGAGTGATCCCACCAGTCTTTGCGGGCATGTTTGAACTTGGGGGGCGTTGTAGTCCGTAATGCTCTTTGGGCCCCCTGGCGTGGCAAATCATTTTCCCGGGCCCCCAGGTACACTAACACTACAGAAGGATCGGGCCCTCAGCCACTGCAGCCGCTGCTTTTTCTGTCAGCTTGATTTGTGGTGACGTCACACGGGTTTTCAGCGACACTCTGTGAGAGGGAGAGATAAAATGTTAAAAAATCTTTATTGAAAACCTTTGTTGAGGCAAGGGGATAAACAAACTGGGAATTGGGGGAGTAACCCTGTGTGTAGCCACTCCCAAACTCTGACCGTCCATGACGAGGGTTGGGGGGTTTGGTACAGGCAAAAACAGCGAGATAACGAGGGTCTGGGGGAAAGGACGGCAAAACAGCCGAGATAACGGGGTCTGGGGTAGGTACAGGCAAAGCCCGCCGAGGGGGTTTAAAGAGGGTTGGGGGAGGTACAAGAAAGCAGCCCAGATTAAAGAGAGTTGGGGTAAAGGTTTTAAACAAGCGGGCCCAAAAATAACGAGGGTCTGGGTTGGGACCCCCCACAAAGGGAACAAAATACTAACGAGGGTTTTAAGGGGGGATTTCAGTGTCGGTCCAAAAACAATGGGGGACATAAAACAGAGGGGTTTTGTGTAATTTACCCAAAGGGGAGCTTGTGGGGTTCCGTATCAGCTTTTTTGTTGCCTGGTGTTTAACCTCCCGACCCCACCTTTCAGCCAGAGTGACGGCTGCCCCTGTCCCCCGACTTTTGGGCCTTCATACCCACAATAAAACTGGTTTTGTTTGCCTCTAGACCCCCGGGCATCCGTTTCACTTACTTTGGGGCTTCCCAAAATTGTGTGTTATTTTATAAAAGGTTTTTTGTTATAGTCCCGAAAAACGTTCATAGGCTTTTAGTTTTGCATTTTGCTGCTTTTTCTGGGGGAAAACAATTGGTGTGCTGCTTTTCCCTTCCCTACCTTTGTGTACGTTTTTCTGTAAAATTTGGGACACCTGGGCAGGTTGTACTTCATGTCTGGTCGTTCACTCCCCCTTTTTTTCCCCCTTCACTTTTTTCCTCTTTTTAAATGAATTCAAATAGCCTCATCCCCCGACTTTTTACCCATCGTTCAAGTCATCTCTGAAAATTTGGGTTTCCCCCTTTTTTTTCTTTATTAAAACCTAAAATCGCTTTGTAACCCTGTACACGTGACTCAATTTCCTCTTGCTGGTCAGTGATGTATATTAAGAAGTATAGTGGTTCAAACACTGGTTGCTGTGGGACTCAGTCATTCCTACCACAGTGGTTCAAACACTGGTTGCTGTGGGACTCAGTCATTCCTACCGCAGTGGTTCAAACACTGGTTGCTGTGGGACTCAGTCATTCCTACCACAGTGGTTCAAACACTGGTTGCTGTGGGACTCAGTCATTCCTACCACAGTGGTTCAAACACTGGTTGCTGTGGGACTCAGTCATTCCTACCAAGGGGCCCAAACATGGTTGCTGGGGGGACTCAGTCTTCCCTACCACAGTGGTTAAAACCGGGTTGCTGTGGGACTTAGTCCTCTACCTAGTTCCATACTAATTTTTTTCCCAATGTCCATGTTTTCTGTGTGTGTGCTGTACTCACCAAATTGTGGTTGGGGGGGTGGGAATCACTCTTGCCCGCCCTTCACGATCGCTACTGGTTCCTCTCTTCTCTCTCTCCTCTTCTTCCGAGTTTTGTCTACCTCGTCTTAAAGCTATGTATGGTTATGTGTGTGTGTGTGTGTGTGTACTCCCCAAATTGTGGTTGCAGAGATGAGTCACGTCCTGGCCACGTGGTGTGGGGAAGGGGGGGGGGGTGACTCGGGGGACGGAGGGTACCATTTCCTCGGTCAAGGAGCGCTCTGCCCAAGACGAACCGGAAAGGGAAAAATGAATTCGGGCACAAGATCTGGTGGCGAAGACGGTGGTGGGGGAAATAGAAGGTGGTGGAGGAAGGATGGAGAAGGGGTGGAGGAAGGATGGAGACGGTGGGGGGGGAAAGGGATGGAGACGGTGGGGGGGGAAAGAAGAGGGTGAGGGGGGGAAGGATGGAGAGGGTGGTGGGGGAGGAGGGAGGGTGGGGGGGGAAAGGGAAAAGAAGACGGTGGTGGGGGAAGGATGGAGACGGTGGGGGGGGAAAGAAGAAGAGGTGGGGGGGAAAGGATGGAGCGGTGGTGGGGGGGGAGGAGACGGTGGTGGGGGAAAGAAGAAGAGGTGGTGGGGGAAGGATGGAACGGTGGGGGGAGGATGGAGACGGTGGTGGGGGAAAAGAAGAAGACGGGGTGGGGGAGGATGGAGACGGTGTGGGGGAGGATGGAGACGGGGGTTTGGGGAAGAGGAGCGGGTGGGGGGGATGGAGACGGGGGTGGGGAAGGATGGAGACGGTGGGGGGGGAGGGACGGGTGGTGGGGAAGGATGGAGACGGTGGTGGGGGAGGATGGAGCGGGGGGTGGGGGAGGATGGAACGGTGGTGGGGGGGATGGAGACGGTGGTGGGGAAGGATGGAGACGGTGGTGGGGGGGGAGACGGGGTGGGGGGGGATGGAGACGGTGGTGGGGAAGGATGGAGACGGTGGTGGGGAGGATGGAGACGGTGGTGGGGAAGGATGGAGACGGTGGTGGGGAGGATGGAGACGGTGGTGGGGCCAGGTGGTGAACAGAACCCTCCAACACTTACTCATGGGTTGGCAACACCTGCACCAGCTGTCAAAGCGGTGGCAGCAGTGTCCACTTTTATCGATGGCACTGCTGGCACCCCACGAGGGGTTGACCAAGCCTGGATAACATTTTGCCTCCATGAAGTGGCACCACTTCTCAGTTTTGTCTAAAAGGTTAGTTAGTTAAAGAGGCTTAAAGCCTATCGACTACACTACCTGGAGTTTACCTGGAGAGAGTTCCGGGGGTCAACGCCCCGCGGCCGGTCTGTGACCAGGGCCCCCTTTGGTCAGTGTTCCCCCCCGGGACCACACCCGTCGACTAACACCCAAGTACCCCTTTTACTGTGGGGGAAAATAGGGCAACAGGTGGAAAGAAAAACCCTCAATGTTTTACTTGGCTGGGGAACGAAAACCCCGGCCTCACCTGTGAAGCGAGGCGTTAAAAACCCGGCCCCCAGGGTAAAAATTGCATGTCCCCCTCTACACCCAGTAAGATACTCAAATACCTAAAATAGGTTTTAAAATTGATTTTTAGTATATATACCCTGAGAGACATGCACCCGTAGGGGAACATCGCTGCCGATTGTCCTAACTTTCATCAATGCTGGTTTAAAAGACCATAATGCTGTCAATATAAAGGTTAGCTCAAGGTTTCCTCCAGGCCTCGCTTGAGGTTTTTCTCAAGGTAGGAAAACGGCAGCTTTCAGTTTTCTTCACAGAGAACTGTCAAAGTTTGCAACCTTAGCCAAAGTGCGGTGACTGCAGCTGGCTTAATTTAAGGAGAGGCTGAAGGTGCAGTCTTATCTTACGTGGTAAAGAAAGTATTTTCCGTTCAGGAGTGTTGAAGAGTTTGTGCTGTTTTTAACATTCTTTTTCGGACTGTTGTGATAGTGGTCCAGGAGGACTGAGAGAGTGTTGCTGGAGGGTGTTTGAGGACAAGGGAAGGGGGACTTCTGGGGAAGGGTTTCTGATAGAAGGAGCTTCTAGGGAAGGGTTTCTGATAGATGGAGTTTCAAGGGAAGGGTTTCTGATAGAAGGAGCTTCAAGGGAAGGGTTTCTGATAGATGGAGTTTCAAGGGAAGGGTTTCTGATAGAAGGAGCTTCAAGGGAAAGGTTTCTGATAGAAGGAACTTCTAGGAAATGGTTTCTGAGTGAAAGGAGACTTCTGTAGAAGGATTTGTGAAAGAAGAAGCTTCTGTGGAAGGGTGTCTGAGAGAGGAAGATTTCTGTTGAAGGATTTGTGGACGACAGGTACTTTCTGGTAAAGATTTCTCAAAGAAGGCGACACAAAAGAGGAAGGTGTGAGAATTAAGGGGCACATAAGTTCCTCCGTCTTCTAATAACACGTTCATTTTTCAACTATAATCTACCTTGTCCATAATTACTATCGCATTTTCTTTGTTTCGTAAGGTGAAGTCCAGGATCTTACCTTAATTCATGGTATAACTTAACAAATCTTTGATGACAATTGTGTTGCAGAGGTCTGAGACCTCTGCAATACTATGTAACAGACATGTAAATTACTGCTGAAGGATGATCTCAACACAGACTTGCCACGTTACATGACTCCTAGATAACATTAACATACAACAAAACAAGAGGATGGGCAGCCAGTCAGAGCAACTGGTGCTCTCAGAGCTTAAACAGCTCGCATCTCCTCATTAGATTAATTAACGGACACAATACGCAGCTTATTGCAAGTTCAAAGCTCCGTGCTGGCAGGAGGATGACGAACGTTACAGTGTTAGTATATTCAAGGAGGTGCTTAAATGAAGGTGAAGGTAGCTAGGGAAGGTAGCTAGGGAAAAAAC